TCATTGAATTCCTTACCGAATATATCTACCGTCTTCTTAAGAGCGAAATTAGCGCAAAAGGGGGAGGAAACGGCTCCAAACGGATGAACTGTTAAACAATATTCCTTCACCGTTCGTCGTATATCACCGTCTTCCCACCACAATAGACGAAATGCTCCCCTGTCTTGTCTCGGGATCTTTACTTGAAGAAACATCTCTTCGATATCAGCAGCTAATGCTACGTTACCTAATCTGAATCGCAGAAGTACACCAATTAAACTATTTACAGTATTCGGTCCTCTCAAAAGCTGGTCATTAAGAGAACAACCTTGATAGACAGCCGCACAATCAAAAACAATTCTCAATTTTCCAGGCTTTTTAGGGTTGATAACAGGATGATGAGGAATATACCAACAAACAGCATCATGGTCAAATCCCTCTTCACTAGCTTCAATGATGTAGCCCTTACTTAAATGTTTATTCATCACAACTTGATATTTCTCCAAAAGACTGTTGTCTTTCATAAACCTCTTCCTTAAGCATTCTAGTCTGCGTTCAGCTAGTTCCAAATTATTCGGTAGCCTTGGCTTATCATACTTCCATGGTAGACCAACTTGGAAATGACCACCCTCCAATCTAAACGAACTGCTAACTATTTCTAGAGCTTTTTATCTTCGACAGAATATCCATTACGAAACGTATCTGTATCCTCGAACTCATGATTATATAGTCTTTCTAAATCTCGCAAAATATCATTAGTGGAACAATGACACCACTGAACTTGATGTAGAGACCTTGATACTTCCTTAGGACCTATAATCATCCAACCAAGATGAGTACGCACAGCAAACGGATGCTTCCTGTCCCCCAGACGTTGTTCCAGGACCCAATGTGCATCCGGAGCATCACACCCAATCAATATTCCTACGAAATTACTTTGCAACCTAGGAAGGGTTATGTCCTTCAGATGTTTCCACCGCTTCAGTTGGAGTTCGGTTAAAGGGGCTGCATGATCAATCGGAAGTTTCTTGGTCGTGTAAACTTTGTTGATCCTTATAGAACCCCGTTCATCTAATGAAAATACCTCTAAATTTACCTCCAAACAATCACAATTGGTAGTTCCGTTTACAGTCGCCACCCTTATCGAAGTCTCTTTACCTTTGATACCCAACTGATTAATTAATTCTTCACACACAAGAGAAGTGTCCGAACCACTATCTAGAAGTGCATATGTTTCCAAACATCCTTTGGGACCGTATAGTCTGACTGGAACGATCCCCAAACAAACCTTTGAGGAGTTCCAATCCTTTGCTAGGTTCACCACATGGTTATCAATACTATCAATATGCAATAATGAATTATGCCCAACCTTGCAATTCTCAACGTCGCACTTGATGCCTGAGTTGCATGTCATAGCTATGTGACCTTTCCTTAAACATAAGTAACATAGACCACGTTTTCTTACCTCCTGCCTCCTTTCTTTTACATTCATTTTTGCTAACCTTGGACAATCTGTCGCCTCATGATCACCTACGCAGATTTCACAACGTGTTACCTTGACTGAGTTATTTGGGTCTCGTCTGATTGCATGAAAGCGTGATCTCTTATCAGCTTGGCCTTCAGGATTCCTTTTACCGAACCTTGAGTTACACTGTACTAATCTACCATAACGGGTTCGGGCAATTCTGGCCCTCTCTTCTACAAAGACCACAAATTCTTCGAAGCTCGGCTCCTTCCCATGCATCATGATTTTATCGGCGACTTCCACCCACTTATTCTGCAATTCTAGTGGTAGACATGAAACTATTACCTCCAAATTAGCCGTAGAATTAACGTCAGACATGTATCCCATTTCCATCAACGTTATACATACATTACGCAATTTAATCGCAAAGTCAGTTAATAAGTCAGCTGATCCTCCGACAGATTTATGGTTTAATAACTCAATAATTAATTCTCGTGCAACAAGATGTTCTTTACCAAATAAATCATACAAAATCTGTTTAGCTCTATCATAGCCCAGATGAATGGGCAATGAAATGCAAGCTTCAATAGCTGTCCTGGCCTTTCCCTTACAATAGTATAACAAATACGACAACAATTGGCCCTTATCTGACAATTTACTCTCTATAAGGCTATTAAACTGACTAATGAAACGGTAATACTGACCTGGTTGCCCATCAAAGTACATCATATCGATCTTAGGTAAAACCATGTTACTAACCATTGTATGTAACGTGTCCTTCAGGTCACCAACCCAATCGACTTTTGAGATGTTACATACCTCGCCTGAATGATTATTACATCCAGCATCACAATCCAAATAATTTTCCACTTTAGCATTTATCCCACATTTATCTACGGGTAATCGTCCATCGTCCTCGATGGCCTTGCATTCTAGTTCAGCGATATCAACCTCTTCTTGTAGATTTAACATCTTAAGTTGCCGTTCTAACTCAAGTCTCTTCTCTAAATTCCTTTTCCTCAATAATGCCTTATCTAACTTTAATCTGGAAGTACTTAGCTGGCTAGAGGACATACTATTAAGACTAACATCATCATATTTATCATCAATAACATCAGACATACCACAAACAGCTTTAGAAATGTTACCATCCATTTCGTCATTTTCCTTCAGCCTTTTGCTCCGTGTTTCCATCGTATTTGTTGTTCAAATAATCAATTGCCAAAACAAATCTGAATTAATCCAAACGAAATCGACCAATAAGACCAGGAATTTGGACCCAAAATATCCAGAAAAACCCAAGGTATGAACACAGAACCAAAATTGAAGAACCTTTTTGTTACGTCCAAGTATGAGTTTTGCTCGTTCCAGTTATTGAAGTACGGACTATCGATCCACTTGCAAATTACGAACCCAAATTAACAACAGAACCAAGTTCCAATTTAGATACCAAATTTATTCGTAATTCACAAATAATCGACCAAATGTCGTTCTAACAACAATAATTATAACAATTACAAAACAAACCTTCAATTTTGTAGGTTCCCGGAGCAAAACTCCCAAATACCAAACCAAAGACAAAGAGAGCACCAAATACCAAACCAAAATGTCCGAAATAATGATATAAACAAACAGTGTCAAAAGTTAAGTAAAACAATTACATCCAAAAACACAGTAAATTATTAATGTACAATAAAAGGTTTTAATCCGCCAAATGTCTTCAGTCCTCCCGTAACACCTCCTATACAGTCATATGTAATTCTGGTACAAGATAACTCGTTAAAATGCAAAAGTTACTAGATATTGTTGAGTACCTGCAAACTTACATTGATATTCTCGACACTACCGTGTCAATCTATCGCCTGAAAGAAACCTATCAAACGACAAACTTTTCTAACAGACAGTCAGAGGGCAACGGTGATCAACAACTCCATGCCATAACCCTGATTTCAGGTGAACAGGACGATTTCTTCATCAGTTCGGCACCACAGTGCATTGAAGGTAATTCGATGGAGTAAAAACATTTCCATAGATTCCGTACTAACGATACAAGCTTCACCCGAATAACGTAAATTGGGGATTACGCAACAAACCCCGTGTCATGCAAGTTCGGTTGTCTTAGCACAGGAGTTATGGGAATCATCTTTCGGCATTCGTTATTGGTCGCGTTAAGCCTATCTGTTACGGTAAGTGCCACAATATTATGGATTCCAAGATGATAACAAGCGTCAGTTCAAATAAGGAGCAGGGGATAAGTGTATAATTAGCAATCTCACCTTACTCTGGCGATAATGTAATTAACCGTGGACATCCGGTGCCTTGAAAGTGTCTAGTATCCAGCGTTTCTGGTATAAAAGAATCAAGGTAGTGCTCTGCTCATGTGATGAACAAGGAAGGACTATAGATAGCGTGAGCCATCTTATATACTTTGGAGATGCAGAAGAATATAGCTCGGCATTCCCTCACGGTAAACTCTGGAAAATTACTTTTCTTCCGTCCCCGAAGTGGGCATAAGAGAGCCGCCTTCATTATATTCAAATTTCGAAACTCAGGGACAATGGAAATGTGAATAGTTGAATCTAAGACACAAAAGTTACTTATCACTATTCATCTATAACTCTGCTTCAAGGACAAAAGAAGTGAGACTATTACGTGGGCTATTGGTTGCAGAGTATGTAGTAGCCAAGTTAGTAAGGTTAGTTTTAAAACCCGACAAAAATAACACCCAAGTGTAAGATATACATACTAACTGAATTATGTTTGCGAACCACTCATAGATATTTGAAACATTTCAAGTAATTACCAGATAACATATTAAAACCTCTGACGGAACTTTAGCAAAATTATATATCTTAATCGTCTGTCAGGTCTCAAACAGGTTTGAATGCATTAGCATTCAGTATTCCGATATCTGTATTTGGGTCGGTGAACTCTAATTCCTATTTGTAGTTTTCCAGTTACTATGGGTTCCTCAATGTACTATGTAGTATATCTTTCACATCGGATTTAGTAGACCGAACAAAGTAGGAGGTAGTTACATGAATTATAAAATTCCGTAGAATAACAAATTTAGAATGTATAGCCTGTAGAGTTTTGAATATTAATATAACTAAGGTATTCGACTGTTTTATGGAGAATGATGGACACATCCTCTGGAAAAAGGTGAATTACAAGTAAACTGTCCTTATTATGTACACTTATGATTGCATAGCTTCCTTTTTATTGAAACAAGTCACGTCAACTTTAATGTTATAATGATCAATGGTTCATTTGTCTCTATTTTTAAATGTGTTAAATTTATATATCCGGGTGGGTATTTTTGATAAGTCCATAGATTTACCATTCTTTGTTTCTAAAAAGTCTTGAACCGATGTTTTCGTGTTATATGTTGAAAAAGTGACCAACTACTACGTTGTTAATCTGTTTTTGATTTATTAATGATACATCAACAGCTAATATTGACGTTGCACAAGATGGCTCCTACAGATTCAAAAACAATAAGTATCAATATTTATTAAAGTTGCATTTTGAAGCACAAACCTTTCATGATGCGATTTTCCACTGCAAAATTTTTTTCAAGACAAGAAATATGGAGACAAACCGTATACAAAAATATCATATGAAGATTATTTAAGTATATTTTATTAAATAGATAAAATGACTGATAATAAGATAGTTCGTTCTGAAATTAAGTTAAAATCATCGCCTCTCATATATATATATATATATATATATGATAAAATATGACGTAAACAGATCATTTAATTCTCTGACCAACCAACAGTCCAAGTAAAAATACACCAATAACTGTTAAACCAAACGATATTTTTTGTGATGAATTCAATGGACACTGATTTTCCTTCCGAAGTAAACAGAAATTGAAAACATACAATTATAGATACAAACAAAAGAAACAAAAGGAATAATCTTAATAGTGCTATCAACAGTTTACCAGCTATAGTCCTTTTTTTCGTGATCATCATTGCAACAATTGAATAGTTATGGATAATTTTGTGCTTATATTACTCGAATAAAATGGTAAGGTTTTAAAAAATGATATTTCAAGTAAATGTTTATCATGATAACCGGATATGAAGTTGAGTTGGAGAAGATAATGCGTATTATACAAAGTTATAAAAAAAAGAATTTCATTTATGTACCTGCACTGAAAATACATTTGAAACAAACGTAGATTAGATTATTTATCTGTCATTAGGATATACTTTTCTCTATAGAAGCTCTAGCCATCAGAAGATTTCAAACTCTCTTTCATCATTAAAATCATCAGTGATACGAAAACTAACCATTCCTGTCATACTTTAATTATTTGATCTTCTTTTAGTTTTCCGACTAAAATATAGTCAGTGGGCGTAAACAAATAAACATTCAGCTTGCTAAATGCTCTGATACAAATTAATATCATGAGTTTCTTTCTACTATTGTTCTCTACCCTAATTTCACCGTGTATGTAAACTTTCAGTATTTGTGTTATATAAACCATTCATTAATTATTCGCACAGAGACATGTACGATATAAGTTGAGTGAAAAAATACTACTTTTTTTAATTATTTCTTCTACATGACCCTACACTAATATTAAAAGTTTTAGTATTAAATATAATTTCAATGGTTGAGATCATGAGTCTATTGAAGCTAGACCACCATGGAAAACCTGGAAGCACTGGACGGCCGTTTCATAGTATTATGGGACTCCTCAGCAGTGCGCATTCACGATCTCGCCCCCCTGCGAGATTCGAACCCAGGACCTATCAGTCTCACGCGCGAGCGCTTAACCACTAGACTGATAGGTCCTGGGTACGAATCTCGCGAGGGGCGGGATCGTGGATGCGCACTGTTGAGGAGCCCCATACTAGGACGAAACGGTCGTCCAGCGCTTCCAAGTTTTTCATTATGGTCTAGCTTCAAGTGACTCATGATTTCAACTATCGAAATAATAGTTTTACTAAATGATGCAAAATAATGAATAGAGAGAGGGAAAAATAAATGAACACATTAAACAGAATTTCATTTACTTTAATTTTCTTCTCATCTTCATGTTGCTCATTACAGATATGGTCCAATAAATCGAAAAGTGTATTCTGTGATTCACTTATTGATTTATTCGATATCCAGTTTAAACTTCGTTTAACTGATTCATGCCAACCGTATAATTTAACGGCGCGATCATTTGAATTAATTTTTGAATAAAATGTTGACTGATATTCATCTGGTTTATTAGTCGAATATTCTCGAATTTTTAACAATCCAGTTGGATTAATATCCAGTGCTAATGCCACAGTAATTGCCGCACCTAATGCAGTCATAACATCAGAATGATTATGACGTCGAACAGTTACATCTATTCAATGAAAAATAAAGTAAATAGAGAAGATAAGTAAACAGTATGAAATGAACAATTACGTACTAAATATTGCATCAGCAGTATTAAGTTGATCAGTTAACCGACTATTTTTATATATGAAATGTAACACAACTTTTGCTAGCCGGTAAAATCCATGAAAATCAAATGTATACTTCAAATAAGGAGAGACTGTTTAGGTTTAGGTTGAACTTGATCGGTTAGTTAATTTAATGAAGTTACTATACTGTCTGTAATTATTATAAAAGTGTATGATAACTACATATCAATTTACATACAACAGAAGTTTAGTCAATCAAAAAATTCCCAAATTAGTACTCTTCCCTTATTATAATGATATTCACTACTAACTTGAGAATAACCACGAGAAATAGAAAAACGGAACAATAATACAATTCATTTTGAAACCTTGCAGTCTACAACACTAATTGCCTTCAGGGTAGACTGACACTAAAAACTACAGTTCACTGAAGAGTAGTTTCATCACCACAAGGATCCCTCACGATATCCACAAACCTTCTCTATTCATATTTTGTAACTCTCACAATAAGTATAGACTTACGAATAATAATAATTATTTAAACAGATTCCTTGTTTTTCTACAACCAGTATATCACTGTTCACAAATTAAAGCAAAACTGTTTCTTCAGAAATGTAAACAACTAGAATCATAGTGAAACGTCTGAAATTTGAAGGTTGGATTCGGAGCTTTCAACTATCATATGGAGTTCAATAATGTTAATAAACAACCTTATTATTTTAATAAGCCTTGAAATTAATCCTTTGATTTTCTTTTCAGTATATTATTCTGTTTTTCTACTGTTTCCTGTTCAAGCTTAATGTTTCCTGTAGAATTAGAAAACAGTTGTTTGTATTTGAATTAGTTCTTACAAAAATGAACAGTACAATAATATATTTCGATCGTTATCCTAATATCAATCGGATTTAATATTGTAGTTGAATTACAGTTATTTACCAAAAGTGGATACATTCTAATATTTAAGGTTATGTTCAAGCTTTTTCCGTTGGTTGTATCTTGTAAACAGGAAACGTTGACTAATATTGTAGTGAACAGAACACGGATGGGGACAATCGAATATACTTAACATATAATTACAGGAATTGTTAATAAAATCTAACAACCATAAAGTAAATGCTTAATTTGCAAAATGTCCTTCAATTGTCTTAAATGACTCAGAATTCATTGTTCTTGCATTTCCATATAAATCGCATTCTGTTCCGATTATTTACTGTTCGATCCTCTTGTCTCTCTGCTGCCAGACCTTCTGATCACGACTAACATCATATACTACTTATGTCAATATAAGCAGCACACACCACAATATTAGCTATCCAAACAATTACCAAAGCATTTTACACTTCAACGTAATCCACGTGAACGATTAGAGAATGTTACTTTCTCGACAGACATCTACAAATAGTATACTCATAGTTTACCTTAACCATATATGTATTTTATTTTTTACTGGAGTTTAGGATTAAAAATAACTAACTTTAAAATTAATTATTTTCCTGAATCCTGTCTCTGATAAATGATTTATTCATGTACTTTAATTCTGTAGTTTTTATTTGTATGTTTATTGCCAATTGAAATATTCTATGAGGCTAAATGATTGATTACTTGAATAATTCAAGGTAAATTGTAAAGGTTGTGAGATAAGTTCCCTGAGTTATTTTTATTGTATTTGACGATGATTATGCGAGTTGCTGATTAACAGTGATGAATAACTAATAAGGCAAATATTTTCCTAGCACGTTTATATGCAAGAGTAACAGTTTCAAAGTCAGTGAAATGACTTTTTCTAGCCGTTTTTCTTGGAGTAACTAGATATTTTATCCTAGCAAGAAATATATGTAACGCTCTGTGCTGAATTTCAAATGACAATTGTAAACATATATATATATATATATATATATATATATATATATATATATATATATATATATAATTACTGATAAATCCTTGTTTTATAATATTCTGATTCAGTAAACCTATACAAATACCAACGTTGAGGTTGTATAGCGTTGAAATAAAGTGATGTATTAACTTATTACCAGCATGCTGGGTGAAGTAATAATAATAACAATAATAATAATAATGATAAAATTGGTCAAACCTACTCAAAATGTCAGCTAAACTTTGCATAAGAATGTCACTATTGGACATTCCACCATCAACAATAATTTCATTTGGTTTTTTTAATGCCATTAATGGGACTATTGAATTGCATTTATTATTAGCTTTAGCTAAAGTAGCCACAAAGAGAACATCATATGTTTGATAAACGGATGATCTTAAGCCAGCATAAACAAGATCAGATTTATCAACATTCGCTGTGATTCCACAAATGACACAACGTGCACTTTCTTGCCACCATGGACAGAAAAGACCACTAAATGCTGGAACTAAATAGCATGGATCTGGCTCATTAAATCTTTGTTTTCTGTATACTGAAGCAGACAATTTCTCACATTCTGCATCATCTTTAAACACGCCAAGTTTTGTTTTTAACCATCTCATTGTAGCCCCAGAAAATGATATAGCACCCTAATTAAGTAGGAAAGAAAATGTCAAAACTTTCACTCACTCAACATAATATTAGTAGTGAAAGCGATAATAAAGAAAACGGATTTCCTGTTCATGGTATACGTTTCGAAAAGCAGTTTCGATCAATCAAGTTTCCCGTGATTAAAATTAATGATGTTATAATGAGAGTATTGCATTAAGCTCTGCTCTGATAGGTTTGAAAAGAACATTTATTATTTCAATCATCACATCATTTTAAAGTTTTCTAAAGTAAGTATTACTGAAAGTATTCAATAAAACAGACAACATAAAATCTCAGTGAATCTACACTCTTGATGTTTTAAGCAGAGTGGTTTATATGAAGGAATAAATTTAAGGAGCGTTCATTGAAGCAAATTTAATGTTACTTAACACTTGTAAGCAATACTAAAGTTGAAATATAGTACTTAAAGTAAACGAGTTATGATTAACATTGAATGAATCCTCATTCAAAATCAGTTAACACACTAGGCACTTAATCACTATGAGACTATGATTAACTGTTCTAAAATTTAATCTTATACTTTATTGAGCCAAATAGTTTAATTGAAAAGTCGTCATTATCACTAGGGATAATATCAGAACAAATGTGAATAAGTTCCATTGTTGTCACACAAAATAAAAATCGAATCTTTATAATTAAACAATTAAGTTAAGAGAATGCAATCGCATTAAATGTACAAACATGAACAACAAATTATTATGACTTTTAGAAATTCCAATTTTTTAATACATCTCAATTGAAGTGCCATAAAAATTAGAATATAGCTTTCGATAATGCAATGAGAAAACGAAGTTTATCAGAATTATGGAATATATTAACGTAATACATTTCGAACAATCTGATCACATATATACTTGTTAATCAATAACGACATGAGCTCATTACTAATCGATAATATTGAATGATAGTTAAACTATATAACAGAATGACTGTAATCGATAAATGAAATGACTGTATTCCCGCACAGTAACCTAATCATAATTTTACTCGTAGTGATAGTAAAAAATCTCTCGGTTCGATCGTGTTTGTGGTTGTCAGTATGCAATTCTAAAACGTTTTGAAATCTAGATGAAATAGCTGCTTATAAGTCACTTATTTTCAACATTTATTTAGATCATTCTAATTCATGATGAAAATGATTAGCATTTACTATGATCAGGCAAGTTATTGAGTAATGTTGATTCCTACCTACAAACCATAATGGATAGAACATCAAGGACCACTTATCTACAACAAACTTCAATGACTTGTATTTAGTTTAATAAAAATAATAAAAAAAAAACGTATCCAGTTGAAATTATCCGAGAACCTGATAGTTGTTTAGAATCATTTCAAAGCAAACATCATTACTAGTAATCAGTGACCAGTTATATCCAAAAAAATAAGTGAAACAATAAATTTTAGTACTATGTAAGTATTTAGTTTTTACTAATAATATTGTCATACGCCTAAACTCATTTCATCAGTTGATTTCAATTCGGGAAACTTGATATGACATTTGTGAAAATAATTTTAGTTTCTTAAAAACTCACTTCAAGCCCATAATATGTGGATCAAAAAAAGAAAATAGGGTATTTATACAACACGTTCTTATCAATATAGCTCATAAATGTTACAGCAGAATTGCTTATTGTGTAGTAACTGATTACCGATAACATAATTCTTGGAATGATTCATACCATTTAGTATGTATGCTATAGCACCAGAGACAAGCAACCTTACTTTCAACTGTATTTAATTTATATCTTGTATACAACACAAAAACAACTGAACTTTCGTAATATATATATATATATATATATAATTTGTATATATCTCTACAATGAAAACCTTTACAGAAAGATTTCAGATTCAGATTTGATTTATAACAATAATTATGAAAACAGTATTATTCAAGTGTCAGTGGAAATGAAAAAAACACTTGTTGTATTTATTATTCGGAGTTATTACAATGTAGAATTTTTTACTGTTATCTATTTAGTAAAAATAGTGAGATGAATAAGAGGTGATTTCATGTTGACAATATAATTTTCTGAGATGTGATGAAACATCAACGGTGTTCAGATAACCATTAACCGTCAGATTAACAGAAAAGAAACCTAGGAATTCAACCCATAATGACACCTTAGTTATTTAGACTGCACTAGACAACATGATCGATTGAGATAGTTAAAAGTTCGGGTTTCTATGTTGTATATGATCGAGGGTACACAATGCTTGAGGTGTGTAGTAGCTAATAAAACTGATGTCTAGTTCTCCATGTTTTCCATTGATTCTCTAAATGATTTGAATTTCGGATGACAATTAACTTCAAACTTTGCGAGCTACACAAATTGTAAACAACCATTATGTGTTTGTGTATAGGTGTTACAATTGTGACTACAAACAATGATGTAATAAAATAAGCGAAAATCCTGAAAGTACATTTATTTCAACAAAAATGGTTGTAATTTGGTCATTCATTTAATCTCGGATCAAGATGGATGAGATACACTGAATTTATACTCATACTATCCAACAAAAAACAACTTTCTAACGAATTATCATTTACCAAAAAATGTTTCTAATGACCTTCGTTCTACAAAACAACGAAATTAGTAAAACTAAAGTGACCATAACTACCTATCATTTTATTGTAAACCTACCTCCAAAGCATAATATGGTTTTCCTTTTGAACCCATTTTATAAGCTATTGTGGTTAGAACACCTTTATCTGAAAAATATGGTTGACAACCAATATTCCATAGCATAAATGCTCCAGTTCCATACGTTACTTTAACCCTGGATTTATCTGGTAAATTATTTTCATCTGCAGAACTGGACAGTCCCCATGTTTGTGCAACAAGTGATGCTTGTTGATCACCTAATATCCCATAAATAGGAACGCCTTTCATTAAACATTTTGAATCTTGAATAACACCGATTAATTCAGATGATGTTACTATTTTCGGAAGTGTACGTGGATTAATATGAAAAAATCTGTAATTAAATGAATAAAATAAACGTAAGTGTAATGATTCTTCAAGTAACGTAAGGAATTTTGTGAAAACTACTGAATTTTACATATTTAAAATAGAAATCGATTTTAGAAAACGATCAGGAACCAGGAAGCATCTGATAGTCATTTCGTCCCAGTATAAAGCTTTTCATCGGTGTGTATCCATGACCCTACCACGAATTGAATGCTGGACCTTCGGTCTCACAGTGAGCTTTAAATCTGTAGACCACTGAGCTAACATCCAATGATGTACATTTCTAAATTCAATTGATTTGAAACTATCTTCGATTGCCTGTTGGGGACAGCTATCTTACGACGGACATGGCTGAAATCATCTAGTGATAAACTTTGCATTAGGACTTAAGAAATTGCCAGTTCAGTTATCTAGAATTTAAAAGCTCACCAAGAAACCGAAGGTCCTAGCTTTAAATCCCAGTGGGAGTTATGGAGGCACACCGATGAGAAGCTCTATACCAGGAGGAAATGAATGTCCAATGCTTCCTGGTTTCAAATAGTTTCCTAAGATAAATCGTTAGTTTGAATATGAAAAAAATTTAACAATCATAAACTGTCATACGTTGGTTTAATGCGCTAGGAATTATATATACAGTGTAAAATTCTTAAAATACGATACTACATAAGTCTTTAAGCCTAAGCACATACATGAGTATAGCAGCAACCTATAAAACATAGTTTAAATCAAGTTTTCTAAAAAAAACACATATAATCACAATTATTTTGCCTGTCGATATGAAATCTAGGTACAAAACAGTGAGTTATTAAATGTTAAGAAAACTTGTAGCGTGGAGTCAAGTCGAGATTGACTGTGAACACCACTACAAAGGAACGCGTGCCAGAATATCCATAAAATCCCCCGGAAGCCAAATATCAGAATGCAGTTAATGGACCAAGTCGAGATATATTTGCTGGCGATCTCGTGGTATCGAAAGAATACCGAGATCGTGCCAGGATACAAGCTTGGTTACTGAGCGTAACCGGATTCGTGCGAGGTCACAATCGAAGTGTGTATAATCGATGTTTTTAGCACAGTTAAACAAAGAGCACATTAAACAGTCACTGGTACCATTGGTTATAATAATAATTGTTTTCATTAAACCAATCGTGTTCTCGTGCTAAAAATAAGTCACTAAAATCTAATATTCTATTAATTATTTTAAAAGTGAACTGATTTGTGCAAGTATATAATTCGTCAAATAATTATGTATGAATAATATGAACATTGAATAAGTATTATTCGCTAAAATAAATCTGAGTATGTAGCTAATAAATTACTCGACATTAGGACCTAAGACCTCCAGTTCAAACGCTTCTCTATCATAGTACTCAATATTACAAGAATAACTTTTAGCTAAATATTCCAAATGAGTGTTTACATTATGAACAGTAAAAAGTGTCTTACGCTTACTGGCATAGATCATGATCCCACTCCAATGTATTCAAATTAAATAGTAGTGTACGGCTTGCATTCGTCACATCAGTAACATGGTACATCTGACTAGTTAGTTTCCATATCAGCCATGAATCAACTGTGCCAAATAATAATTTATTTTCTTCATCTGCTTTAACCACTGACTTTACATTATTTAGTAACCAATTCATTTTTAAAGCTGAGAAATAACTATGTATCGGTAAACCTGTAATATGCTAGAGAAGGAAATGAAAAAGTATACATATATTTCTATAGATTTTCAAATTAAATTATTATTATAAAACAAGCAGATTGCGGTTGACACCGGAATCCAAGATTCGCGTTTTGATTAATTTGAGACTCATCACTTAGATGTACTACAATCTCATTGTTGACATTCACACTGATAACAGTTTTGAGTTCAAATGTGGACATCAACATTGTACTCATTTACCTTCTATTTTGATTATTAATTTGCAGTTTGGAGAATCTTTCAAGGAAAATTAAACACATAAGTGCTACAATAATGACAATATCTTTGTGTTGAAGGCGAAGATATTTGAAACCATTTAAAGTAACCAATAAACGAGATATATCAACTATTAAAAAAATGAAGTTAAATAAGATTAGGATTTGTTCTTTTAATGGCAAAATCCACCATTTCTAGTGTTACAGAAAATAATACCCAATTATAAGCAAAGCTATTATTATTATGGGCTTTATTCAATAATATGTTTTTGGTACAGTATAGAATTTTCAGCACAAAGTATTTAAACAAGTTTCTTTTTCTTATTTCTTGATTGACCCTGACGATAAATATTAAGTGATCGCCAGTTTGATGTTAGTAACTTAGAAGTAGACATCTGAATACATATTACCAGCCACCACAGTGTCTCTGATTTTACTTTTTGTAACTTGTACAGAGAAAAGTCATAAAGTTTTCATAAATGCGTTTGGATAGGTTATACAATTAAGACATAATAATGTGTGAAAACAAACAAAAGCAAATAAGTTATTGAAATATCTAAATGACAGGAACAGGTAGCCTAAATATTTAAGCAGGCTGCCAATCATAATGAGATACTTTTGAAATTCTACCTTTCATCAACATTCCACAGTAAGGATATTAGCAAAATAATAGTTTATAATGTATCAGAAGTGGTTTTGTGGAGATTGTAGTCTCGCGCGCGAGACTAATAGGTCCTGGGATCGTGGATACGCACTGCTGAGGAGTTCCACAATAGAACGAAACGGCCGTCCAATTCTTCCAGGTTTTCCATGGTGGTCTAGCTTCAACTGACTCATGATCTCAACTATTGAAGTTTATAATGTGTTTTAAAATATTATACTTATTTACTGACATACATATAATTGATTTTAAAACAAGTTAATCAGTTAATCTTTAAATAAAATAAATAAATCTGAAATATAACTATATAAACCTTTTACAGATATAAGTTTACAATTACAACGGTTTAATGAGTTCAAGTCATATGGTGAATTTACAATTGTTATGTAAAAAAACAACAGAATATTAAGTAATCAAAAAAGTATGTTTAATGTGATAATTCGAGTAATTAAGTTGATACAAGTTACAATTTCTATAAATCTACCATGATGTCATAAAATCACCGTTAACTTAAACATACTACTTATCTTTATTTCTATTGTTAATTAAACCTAATATTTTACGAAGAAATTTTTCAATGATATATATTTTAGAAATTTCATATGATGAACTGTCTTTGCTTACTTAATCAATAAAAACAGGAAGCATTGGACAGCCATTTCGTCTCATTAAGAAATGTTTCAACAGTGATCATTTACAATATTCCTTGATTCGGTTTGATTAATAAAACAACTTTAACTATATTGGTTAGTCATTTATTGAATGATCTGTGAGAATAATAGATTACTTACATGTTTTTAAAATAAAGACTTTTGGTGTTTATACAAGTAATTATATAACATCAATAAAAGTAAATCAAGTTTATTTTACGTCTCTGATATTCTCAAAAAGTTAATTTATGCATGAATTTCAGTTTTTATGAGTATTCTTGATAATTTTATATGGTTTTCTCGTCACCAAAGATTAAAAGATGCAATAGTTGGTTAATTTGATTATTTTTAGGGTAAATATCTGATAAAAACCAAAACGTTTTACTACATTACTTATTTCTAATTTTCAACTACTGAATTAACTGTTTTTACTTTCGTTTGACACAGAGAATATGTGAACTATTTCAAAGTAGCATTTTGAGAAAAAGACACCGGTTTGCTGGGGCTTGATAATTTCTATTCGATATCACGTAATATATCGCTAGTCTGACTAGTGCCCAAGTTCACGAGTTTTACACACTGACGATAGCCTTAACGTCTAATTGCTCCTCGAGCTCATTTATAACCTAGCAGTTAATCAGAAGACGGTGATAGGAAACGGATTAGCCCTCTATTGTACTCAATTTCGATCATGATTAAAAAGTAACACAATAATATACTGAAAATACCTGATCACACAACACATCAAATATGAGATTACACTTTAAGCCCAATCATATCATTAGAGGTAGATGGTAGAACAAACAGTTCTTATTCAATTAGCAATAATTAAGAGATAGTTAAATGTATAACAATAGTTAATCTACCCACTGGAAGTTTACAATAAGGGAGATATAGGGACAGAATGACATATCTCATAATTATGTAATGAATATATAAATAATAATCAGGAAAATAGCACCAAGAATTTAAACTTTCTCAATATTCGTTATGTTACAACATTCAGGTACTTGATTTTAGGCTAAACTTTTACATTGAGTACTGCGGTTTAGTTTGCTATCACTACTTCAGTTGTTTGTTTACTTCTTATCAATGGAGTAGCTTGTTATGGAATAATTTATTCAGGATCACTGAAATCAATACAATTAAAGTTTAAACTAGAAGGAAATATAAATGCCCTTAAGTCTTGATTCAAAAAATGTAAAAAAACCATGGTAATCCAATATTTATTCAAACAACAAGCCTCACATTAACAAACGATGAATGTTAGTATATAATCTCCGAAGATGAAGGCTTTTTGTCTTAGAAAAATCCATAAAATAAATCCTGCAACAATTTAAAAGAAAACGTAGAACAAACATATTCAGTTAGAATCTAGTTTAATCTGTAGCGTGCAAAAGAGATCGTGATAATCCAAATAAAAATTTGAGATACCAACCCACAGACACGTTATAATCACGGATATTTAAGATGGATTAAGCTTCAAAGCAAAGGTCGGAGGTCATTTAAATAATTACTCAAGCCAAAGAACTAAATGTAAGGTCATAAATGGAAACACTAACGATTAGTCCAGTAGCAACATGTATTAAATGGATTGAAGGAGGTAAAAAGCCCAGCTCTGTAAGCTTGATCAAATAAACCAAACTGTAATAATTTATTTTCCACTAAACTTTCATTAGGAAATACAAGTAAAATTGTTTACAGTACACGTTCATAAGTAGTGATGCCAGAAATCATGTATTTTATGAATCCACACTTACTATATTCGTCACGATTTCACTTAAACATAATAAGTAGGTTTATATAGTGAAGTCTTCGATGAGGACAACTAATAAACAACACGGTAACGAAAAACTAAAACTGTTGATACTAATACTGAAGAGTTCTAAAAAAATAAATGAAATACAATGATGATGTGACAAAGTGTCATTATTTTACAATAACTATTCAGGTACATCCAGCTGACGAGTCCCATATAGGACAAGACGTGCGTCCTGAATTCCACAGTTAGCCACCATCAATCTCCAAAATCTTTATGATTTAATGGCAATATCGAAGCAATCCACACAGGACTTCCATATATACTACAAAAGACTGAGGGATTACAATCCTAAAACGAAGCGAATTATGAAAGGTCACTGATTAATTTGTTTATTTTATTCTCAATTCGTCATTTACTTTGTGATAAGTAATTCATAGGTCCATTCATAAATGAATGTTCTAATTCTTTAGTACATTTTCAATCAATCAGTCAGTGATTTTATCTCATATGTTTATCACAATCTGATGTTAGTTTATCAACATTTAATACTGTACATTCATTATATAATGGTTTAGAAAGTTTACATGAAAGAATGTTATAGAGAAAAAGTTTGATTTCGAAGCAAAAGTCCAGAATCATTCAAACAAGAGCTTATCGATCGTTTAAAATAAAAAACTGATCAATGTATTGTATTAGTAGTCTAATAGATAAATTTACCTGTTCAACTAAATGGATATTTAAAGTAGATCTCTTTGAGAATATCAATATGGAAGTATAAGTGTATTTATAACTGACGAGTTACGAACAGGATGACAGTTGTTCCTTGAATTTCACCATCAGTCGATATGTAAAACGAATTATTTAAAACAAATCAAATTGTAAAATATGTTTCGTTTTTATTTATCTACCTGAAAAGCATTCGATTTATTACCAGGCGCCATTTGTGTAAATTTTATAACATCATCAGCAGTTCTTGCGTCAGACCACACAATAGCTGGAGCTAATGGTTCACCTGTTTCACTATTCCATGCAATTGTTGTTTCACGTTGATTTGTAATCCCAACACCAATAATATCCTGAAAATTGAGGATATAAACGATTTGTTGCCTTATACATTGTTTTATAAAGTTTATCCGTGTTGTAATTTATTGATTTAAATACGTAGGAAGAGATTTATAAATAACTCTTTGAAATATAATTAACCAGACATTCTAGAAAATATTTTTCTGTAATATGAAATTGGCCTGAAATTTCTTTTTTAATGAAAATGTTGATCTGTCCCGAAACTAGAATAACCTATATGGGCTCGACATAGGGCTAGCCCCTACAACTGTACGATGACTGCGTTTTATTTTTCTTTGAAAATAATAATAATACAGATTTAATTTTGATATAATATACCCAAGCTCCCAATTTCGGGGAAAATTTGACCCATTCTGGGGAAGCTGCTATAGTAAACTTTGAGGAAATGGCACCAAAACCCCAAAATTTAACCAGCTCTGGAGAAATTCTCCAATATTTTCCCAAAATTCCCCTTTAACCTTGGTGAAGGTCACTTGATTTTGCGGATTCCCCTAAACTTGGGAGATTGGGATATATTATCATAATATAGCTGAAACTACTCTTCTGATATATTTTATTTCCATTCATTTGTGAAATAATATATTTAAATATCAATATCCATTCTTTCTTAATTTATTCCAAAGTGTATCTCATCAATTCTAATGTGTACGTTGTTTTATAATGTTTACCAGACTATACAGTAACGTATAATGAAACAAAATACATTTAAGTGAATGAATTAATTTCCATTAATTGTTAGAACGAATTTATGTAAGATATTATTATCATTTTGCTAAAAGACTACACATTAATATTAAATAAAGAACCTATAAATATTAGTGAATGATGAACATATATAAATAATATCAATTAGGTGAACATATATAACCAATAAAATATGATTATTTGTCTTTATGAGTTGAATTTTTAGTATTCTTTTGTAAAAAAAAAACAAAACAAAATCTTATGATAGATTTTATAGGCAGTAACAACTGTTGAATATAAGCATCATAGTAATTACTATGGAAAACATCATCTATAGTGTATAATAATAAGTATTATTATTGTTATTATTTGACTAGCTCAGTTAGTTAATTTCTGTTTTGTATTCTAGTTTACTGATGTGAACAGAGAAACAAGAAGCCTTGACAAACTACGGAAGCTATTATTGGAGACGTTATTTCATTTAATTCAAAGCTTGTAAAACAGTATTATTTATTTTTGTCCCTAGTCTATTCTACAGATCATGAGTTTTCGTTTGATGTATGATTCACTGCCATATCCCTTTTTCTTCCGAAGCTATTGTAATTTAAACATATTATTTTGTACTGTATTTTATACGCAAATCCTCAGTTTTGGACATAATTGTATTTTTCTAATTGCTGTACGTTGTGGTAGGGTTAGTCATCTATTTATTCATGTATCTTTTTACACTAGTCTGAAATCGGGAACCGGATCGGAATTGAGAATAAATCGAGTAGTGTTCTAGTTGTCTTCTCTTTTCTCACTCGGCCAATCAGGAGATAGAATAGTTTTCTTCTCTCTACCCCACACTTCGAACTCACGCGTACTAACCTCAAGGTTAAACTGGTCACTCTATCGCGTCAATGTCTTAATCTAGATTAGACAAAGTAGCCTCAGCACCAAAAGTGGGTAGACAGATCAAGGACGTGACATTTACTATTCAAAATCCACAAATGGCGAGACTCTAATTTAGGGACGAGCCAATCAGAAGACAATTAGTATGAAGTAAAAATATATTATAAGAAAGTAATGAATTACAGTGGATATTTAAAAGCTTGTCAATATTTGATAAGGGTTCAGAGATTCTGAATTTACGATGCATACGGTATAGAAACTCGTCCATAGGGTTAAGGTTGGGTTTTAAGGTTAGGCTTAGGGTTGAGGTGGCGAGACTCTAATTTAGGGACGAGTCAATCAGAAGCGTTTGAGCAATTTCAAGGTCACGAAGCCAAGTTCAACACGTGATGCTAACATACGATCGGTTTACAGAGGATTTTAGAGAAGAGGTGATTATTGAGAGGCTACAACCCTAACCCTAACCTTAAAACCTAGTCCTGTGGACGAGTTTCTATACCGTATGCATTATGAATTCAGAACCTCTCAACCTCTATCAAACCTTAACAAGTATCTAATTCACGTGAAAGAAGAATATCCACTGTAATTCATTACTTTCTTATAATATATTTTTACTTTATACTAACTGTCTTCTGATTGGCTAATAATTGGAATTGCTCGAACGCTTCTGATTGCCTCGTCCCTAAATTAGAGTCTCGCCCACAAACCTACTACTAGACTAATTCGTTATAAAATTAGAAATTATGGAAATTTGGTTGAAAGTAACATCTTAAGGATATAATTATTATTGCTTAGTATTTTATAATATACCTATTCAAATGTACAGAGAAATCATTTTAATAGCTTTGATTTCAGTAATATTTACACTTTCTAATATATGGGCCAATGAAGACTGTTGAATTTTGCAGCATTTATGTCCCGGATTAACTTCGATGAAACTACAAAATTCGATGACTTCCACAACCTCTGAAACTAAAAATCCATCTACTGCCTACTAATAACTAACTTTGGAACGTAATCCAGGAAATTTCGTGCGATTGGTTCCCTTTATGAATTTAAATAGAGCAAGAACATTAATGCAAAATAGTATGAATTCATATTTTGAGGTTTCTCGTCAGCTGCTTACAAACCGAAAATGTGATGGAATTTTTTACATTGAGATAGTGTGAAACAATTGACATAAATGAGTGTAAATAACTGGATTACAATAATAACTATATATATATATATATATATATATGCTAGAACAAGTCAGAGGGAATTAATTCAGGGTGGGTGGTGTAATAGTCTGGTGAAGTTCATAAATTGTGTGATAATTTTAGAGATTAATGGAAGTGAATAATGATAAGATGGGTTACGTAATAATAATTAAACAGAATTTGAAAAGTTAACATAATTTAAGAGGATCAGGTGGTGGAAATGTGTGAATAAAAAGTTGGTTTAAGAATTAGGTAATAGGGGAGGAGTATGACACAAAATAAATAAATGAATAAAATAACCCAAATAACCAAAAACAAAACCAAAACAAGGGTTACCAGGGCAATGATAAGTTTATTAAAGTCTCTTTTTGAATGCATAAATCCAGTTTAAGTTTTTTTATCGCAATCGCTTCAGCACCAAATCAACGATGGACTGAAATAGACCATATTGGGTCCGACGATGATAGTTTTGCTTGACCTAATAGCAGTATTTGACTCAGTAGATCGAGAGGTCTTGTGGCAGTGTCTGTCATTGACAGGAGTACACAAACCTTGATGGGGCTCTTTAATCGAACACTACCAGTCTAGTCAGAGCTTATGGCGAACTGTCATCTGATTTCGCAACCTCAAGTGGTGTCCTGCAAGCCTGTCCACTATCTCCATTTTTACTCAACTTCATCATGGACATACTGATGGAAATAACGTTAACTGAATTTTCGGGCGTTAATCTCCTATCACGTGACCCACTTATTGAATTAGAATACGCATATGACATAGTCCGGTTCGGTGAAGATGCTGATAAAATGCAGAGTCTTCTGGTAGCACTAAGCAACAATGCCAGAATATTTGGAATGCGCTTCTCTCCCTCTAAATGCAAGCTGCTGCTTCAGGACTGGTCTGCGTCAACACCTGGACTAAGGAGTGAAGTAGTCGAACGCGTCGACAACTTCACTTGTCTTGGAAGTCTGATCAGCCCTGATGGGTTGGTGTCTGAAGAAATCTCAGCACGGATTCGAAAAGCTCGTTTGGCTTTTACCAACTTACGTCAACTATGGAGAAGGCGAGATATCCGTCTACCAATTAAGGGACGAGTATGCTGTGCGGCAGTTCGTTCTGTTCTACTTTACGGCTGCGAAACATGGCCATTAAGAGTGGAAGATACTTGTAAGCAACTAATATTTGACCACAGATGCCTTAGAAATACTGCTTGCATCTGCCGGGATCACCGGGTAAGCAATAGTGAGGTTAGACGCAGGGTATTAGGGAATGATGGTAAGTCAGCTGATGAGGTTGTGAATCTTCATCGACTGACATGGTTAGGCCACGTGTAATGTATACCCAACCACCGATTACCACGACGCGTAATGCTACCTGGTGTTAGAGACGGATGGAAGAAAGCTAGGGACGGCCAAACCAAAACGTGGCATCAGTGCTTGAAGTCACTAACCTCTAGTCTGAGCCATGTTGGTAGATGCAGACTACTTGGTTGGGGTCCACGCGACTATCGTAACCAATGGTTGGAGACTCTGTGTGACATGGCTCGGAACCGATCACAATGGCGTTGGTGTATACACTCTTTGCCTTCTCTTAAACTGTGAGATTAAAATCGCTTCATATCTTTCTTTCTACGAACTAATTCTTTCTTCTTGTATTATACCGATATATGCAATCTTTCTGTTATATATTTCTACCATTGAAGTGACTACTCATACAAATTTGGTGTTCATCTTTCGCTAATGAGGTGTGGCGAATGCATACTATGTGCCTGGTCCTACATTGTAGCCGACTGACTGGCTGGTTGATTCTCAATCCACCTCCGTTCTCAGCAAGTCTTTCCAATTCTTTTCAGTTGCTAATCATCCTATTTATATCTGCTTTCAATTCTTGACGCAGTGTGTTCTTTTGCCTTCCTTTTTTTCGTTTACCTTCAGGATTTGAAGTTAGCACTTACCTTGTCATGCAGTTCGAGGATCACCTCGATGTGTGTCCTATCCACTTTCAGCGTCTTTTCGTAAGTTCCTCTTCAGCTGGTTCGTTCTCTCCCACAGAAGGCTGTTGCTGATGGTATCCGGTCAACGGATATTAAGTATCTTACGTAGACAATTGTTCATAAAGACTCGTACCTTTTTGATGATGGTTGTAGCAGTTCTCCACGTTTCAGCTCCGTAGATTAGGACAGTCTTGACATTCGTATTGAAGGTTCTGACTTTAATATTGGTTGGCAGTTGCTTTGAGTCCCATATATTCTTCAACTTTAGGAATGCGGCCCTTGCTTTGCCAATACTCACCTTTACGTCTGCATTAGATCCTCCACGTTCATCGATAATGCTGACCAGATACGTGAAACTTTCCACCTCTTCCAGAGTTTCTCCACCAAGTGTAATTTGGTTGGGGTTCCATGTGTTGTATTTAAGGATCTTGCCTTTTCCCTTGGGTATGTTGAGGTCTATTGATGCAGCGGCTACTATTACACTGGTTGTTTTGGCCTGCATTTGTTTGTGTGTACGGGATAGGAGAGCTAGGTTATCTGCGAAGTTCAAATCGTCTAGTTGCATCCAACCTGTCTATTTTATTCCGTGTTTCTCGTTAGATGTGGAGGTTTCCATAATCTAGTCAACCATCAGAATAAAGAGAAAGGGTTAGAGTATGCAGCCCTGCCTGACACCGGTCATCACTTGGAACGCATCTGTCAGCTGTCCTCCATGCAGGACTTTGCACTGTAGTCCATATCATGTGTTCCGTATGATGTTGACGATTTTCTCAAGTACTCTGACTTTGCACAATACACCACAACAATTCTGTATGATATATTCAGGTCCCATCAATTAACCGTATTCATAAATATACATTGTTAGATGAAAATGCCGACAAGAAAATGGAAAATATTATCAACTTTTCTATTTTTAAAAACTGACATCCTTTTGAGATATGTACTTTTCATAGAGAAAACTGTTTATTCGCTGCTAACAGAGAGGTAGAATAAACATTTTCTCCATTTCTTAATTAATTATAGGAATTTCCTTGATTACAATTTTGTACCCTTTACCAATAAAACGTAGAACATATCCTTATTCTCGATTAAATCGAGGATAGCTTAAATCACGGACTGATATCAGCTGGACTACTTAAAAAGATGAAGTACAGAGTGATTGCCACGGAATAATTCAGGTCTCCTTTGCAACTAAGATCATAACCCAAAAGTACAAACGCAAGACATTTAGTCATCTCGATAGCCCGGATTTATGTTAGAATACTGAACTAGCATTTAGCGACCACTATTTAGGTTTAGTAAGCTCCTTTAATTTGTGATCTCAATTCATTGAACTGTAGTTTTGTTGATTTTATAGATCAAGAAAAAGACACTAGGTAAGATCTCATGTAAAGTCAAAGTTTTGTGCTAATGACTTCCGAAACGATGAAATAGCTGTGGTTTTTAACGCTAATTCAGTTAATCTGGGTATATAATTAAATTTATCGTCAGACGATAATAAAATCTTCTAGGTTAATGAAATGAGATACATTTAGTTGACCGAAGTACTACAATGCTTATAAAGTACAACACTATTACATTTCACCTCATTCTATGACTGGTTCATATATAAACATTAACAATGTTGTTACACAACAGTCATGCCAATAGTCCACAAACTAAGTTTAAGCTACAGTATTTAACAACAAGTATTTTGGTGTCTGGACAAGTATTAGTTTAACCTCAGATGACAAGCTGTTTTTAAATATTAGCATAGATTGTCACGAAAACAAAATACAGAGATTTTATACAACGGAAACCTAAAATATAATACTTTTAAATGTTCATTAACATCAAGTTTAATAATTGATTAACTCTATGTACTGCTAAGACACTAGGACTACACTAATGAGTTTAGTTAAATATCATATATAGAATAGATTGAAGCATATTAACGGATTATATAAAATCTAACATACACTTACTTTAACACTTCTATCTACTGATTTTAATTGTTCCACACATTTATTTAAACATTCTAGAATTGTTGTATAAATCTGATTAGCATCCATTTCAATCCATCCAGGTGACGGATAACTTTGTGTTACACTTATTTGATGCATAGCTATTATACTTCCATTGTTGATTGAAAATATAATCACTCTTGAACTACTTGTACCTTGATCAATAGCAGCTATAAATTTCTCATTTCCATTATTATCAACCTGCTTTTTATCTACATCAGTGGGAATATATTTATCAGTTGCCATTGCGTAAAATCTGCAGATAATTTCACAAATAAATTCGACTTCTGTAAAAAAGTAATTGGACATTTAGACATTATAGTATTTATGAATAATGGAACTAATAAAAAGGTAAAAGTGAATAACATTTTACATTGGTAAATGTAGTGCAAGAGATGTAGCATTCAATGTACTTTATAATATCATGGAGGAACTCGACAAAATTTCTCAGGATTCTATTGGGTATTTTTCAATGTGAAGTGAAAAACAAAATATTTTAAAGCTTTAAAATTCTCTAAAGAATGTATTTGACAAATAAAAAAGCAGTAGACAACGAATAATATAGATATACCTTGTTTTATTTTCATCTTTTGGTTTTATGCAAGAGAAAATCGTCTTTTAATTAGTGATCTTTTCAATAGTAATCTATACAGCTTCATAAAATACGTTTTTATTTCAGTTTTTTGATGACCTGTTGATCAGGAGATAACTGTACTTCTGTTCAAAAATTTAGATACACTGAATAACAGTGGTTGTTTGCCTCTGAGAGAACTCGAGTTAAAACGAAGTAACAGTTTTATATTCATTTGCATCCACTATTTTCAGTCCTTTACGAAACATTACATCATATTTCAAATGTAATTATTACTTACATATTTGAAAACATGAAGCATTTGAAACTGGCCAAATGTTTTGTGTATTTGACTCACTAATTCTTTCCTTCGTTAAATTAGGCATGTAATATAAATGAATATTCTTCTGCATGAAGTAGTGACGAACATTATTAATAGCATTACTACTACTAGTAGTCCTAATGACAATACTATTAGTTTATTCCTCTATACAACTACTTTTAAATAAACACCTCAGTTCAGCTCTCAGTTTCAGAACTCATATTTAATCTACTTATTTAGTCAACAGCATTTAGTATACTTTAATTATTACAAATTAATTAAGGTTGTAATTTAGAGTTTACCAGACCCATGGTTATATATGGTTAATAATAGTCCTCTTGCTGACGTTAGTTTTCAGTGAGAACTACCTCTAAATTCTACAGAATTCTTCACAAAATTACTTAATTCATTTTTTAAAACGAGTTTTACTGATGAAACTTATGAGTAAACGTAAATATCAACCAGATTTAAGACAAACTTTTAAATTTTACTAAAGCTTTTATCTTTATTAATATTCTGAGCAACAAAGAATCAATGTTGTTTTATAAATATAGAATCAGTTTGACTGATTATCGTAGAAAAGTTTTAAATGAAACACACTGTTTACGTTTTTTAAACATATTCTTCAAATGTTAATTAAGTCCCATGTAAATAAAGCTTGCTTAGACGTTAAATGAAAAATATAAGTGTTTTTCATAACGACGATTTGTGAGTTCATGATTTTACAAGTTTAATAGTTTCATTTTCAGTAATGGGAAACTTGTGGCCGCATGATCATCAAAGCATATCACAAAACAAAGGGAAGGATTACAATGAATGCTGTCTACCGTTCCTCGATGCTTAGGAAGAGCTAACCATTCTAATAGGAGACATGAATGTCAAGGTAGGGACGGACAAAACCGAATATGAAGGCAACACGGATCAGGAGAAAGGAATGAAAATAATGGGGAATTGGCAAGTTTGTGCCATCAGTAACGTGATTATAGGCAACAGAAATGTCGCCCAAAAATAGGAACACATAGCTATATAGGTTTCACCTGACCACACCACAGAAAACCCGATTGACCTTGCCTGCACCATTAAACATTTCAGAAGGTCCATGAAAGATTTAAGGACTGAAAGAGCTGATACATCTTTGAGCCACTATTTGGTGACGATCAAGCTAAAGCCAAAGCTAGAGAAGAACTGGAAAATTAGGCAAGTAGCACCACGGAAGTTTAATACAACCTTCTTTGGAGAGATACTAACCAGCCCAGAGAACTCAACGTAACTGTCAGCAACAAGTCCCAAACTTCACGACACCTGTTAGAAGAAAGACAAACCATCATAAAGAACAACCAAAAAGGAATAAATAAGTATAACTTCAACATAACAGGAGGCACTGGGTCGCACAAAGCACCAGAATAAAGAACGAATCACTGTAAAGTCTGGACAAGATTCAAGAGAAAAAAACAAGAAGCTAGTAATCAAAAACAGTCTAACTATAGTGGAGAAAGTCAAGATACAGGCCAAAATACATAGGCAAACAAACGAGTGATGAGAGGCATAGGAACTAAGGAGTGGAAATATGTAGAAAACCTAGCGATAACACAACAGAAAAAAATATGAAAGAAATACACCATACAACGAAGTCACTAACAAAAATATTAACCAACCAAAAATTTAATAAATCTCAAATTCTACCAATTAACATATTTCAATAAAAAATGAACTTCAAATGTTTCTCCTGTTTTACATATCAACTATATCTTCGTAAATTTATATTTAAATTCTACTGAAATGTTAACATAATGTTTATAGAGCAGTATATGGTTAAATAGTTGAAAGTCCAGTAAAAGAAAGTTTTAGTAGCAAAGAGAAGAATTTTTACATAACAATTTATATGGTTTAGTTTTGAAATAAACAAGGTCATAAAATTTATTCAAAGCCGGATAACTGCCGTTTAATTATTTTATAAACAATGTTGACTAGACAAACTCCCAAGTTGTACAATATATGTTAGAACAGAAACCCTAACTATTAGACGGCTAAATAATATCAACAAGAAGCTCTGGATTTAGATTTTATGCACTTTAGCACTCACTAGTAAGCCATATTCGGAGTATCGAGAGGACTGGTGAGGTGCTGTAGACCCGAAGCCGTTATAGCTAGTTAAGAAAAATGTTAGTTAAGAATAGAAAAGATATAAAATTAAAATATGTACCAGTTTGATCGTGAAGAAATTAAGGAAATGTGATTAAAATCACTCTATTAAAAGTGAAACGTAACAGCATTAATTATCTCAATATTCATCGATTTTAATAACAACTATCAAAGTAGGATTAAAATGAATTTTAGTAACTATATTTCTATCTATATAAGAATTCGAACACATAAATATCTAACCTAATATAAAATTTTAAGTTTCTTTACTAAGAAGGTGTTTTTGAAAATACTTCCCATCTATTTGCTAGGTAAATCGTGAGCATATAATATATATGGTTCTTTATCTGAAACGAGAGGAGCAGTTAAAAACTATGATGATTAGTAATCACACAGTTTCATCCTTCAGCTGTAATTAAACCTTTTGAATCCGGGTAAACAAAGACGATAGTTCGATAAAATTGAATAATATATCCTAAATAATTTTATTTTCATGATATTTGAATGCTTAAAAAGTAACAAATGTTAGAATTTAATTTTTCTATGCATAATTAACCAAACACACTGTTAAAGTATTTCTTCCATTTTCATTTTTGAATTCTTATTTGATGCTACAAACCGAATTATCGAAATAAACTTTGCAGTTAAATTTTCTATTGTTTGTACAGCAGGCAGATGGAGTGTCGGATGTACGATGGCAAACTTTTGGTAGTATTCTCTCAGTCCTTCCTCCTGGTTTAAAACAGCTCAGAGAACATAACATGCTAGTTTGAAGGCCAAAAACGAGTAAAATACTCGTGACACACGTTTCTCCAACAAATTGAGAGAAATGGTGGTAGGACCTTGAATTGACCCATTCGGGAAAAGAAAGATCACCTACAGAAGCTTACTAGAAAAGGAATCAGAAATGTCGTCGCTTTTTTTCCCCAATGAACAAACCTGAGCTTGTATGTATCTCACAATGAAGATCGGATAATATTACCATCACGACGTTGTGACCGGGAATCGTTGTATTAAAATGAAGGAGCAGTAAGATATTGCGAAAACTATTGGTGAATTCGAATTTGTCAACCTTCATGTGCTAAGCTACAGGCTAGAATATCGGCCACTAATTTACAAACAGTCGTTAAGTCTGACCCCGAAGAACAAGTAATTATGCTTATGAGCACTAAAGTAACTTCATTTAAGCTGGATACCGTAACAATAGCACACAGAAAGCCTGGGCTAGCCACTGATACATGGGAAAGCTGATTAATGAAATTAAGACCATTCACAGACCCACATGATTATCTTTCTGAACCATTCCCTTCTCATGACATAGTTAGTCATGAGTACATGTGGGTTTCCATTAAGGAAGTTGACTGTAAATGTATTGTCGTTAACTGTGTTAATAGTGTAATTTTTTCATTGCTACATACGTTCGTGTGAATATATTTTTTAATTCCTGCTGATGGTAATAATTCAAACCATTTCATTACCTTTTATATACTGTCTAGACGACTAATCAGCAAATCGTACCTATCGACGCACCAAGCTGGAAGCAGGTTCTAACTGCAGCTGAACAGTGGATCGTGTGTAAAGGACTTTTTCTCCATCCTATGGACTTTGTGGATATGCACCTGCAAGACAGTGTTCAACCAGATGACAGTTGGCCAGTCCTGAAGCGCAAGGTCATCCACTACTGTAGTGAGCTACAAACATAAAAACGATCATTTCCTATAGATACTTTCCAGACTGCAAAGGATGTGTTGATTTCGTTCAACAACTTGGCTGGGTACCGTGTCAGCAGTTTTACGGACGAAAACATCTTGCCACTAAACGAAGAGAAACCGAAGAGTTCACTGCAGTGATCTTAATAATATTTCAAAGATGTACATTAAAACGGAAAAAAGGTTTCTATACAATTCCATTGACATGGATGTGGGTGAGATGCAGGTTAGAAACAGCCACGCTCAATATCCTAAATCTTGGTCGCTGGACACTTGTCTCACCAGTTACCAAATAGGCGATGAGATAAAATACAGAAACATCATCGACGAAAACAAGAATATGCATGTGTTAATTTGAAGTTATAACTATTCACTGCTGTTCTATAGGTAGTGTTCAGTATTAGCGAACATAACCGTAAGTCATACTTCAAGTAGAGTTTTTTTTTAAACAAATTACAGCAGTTTGACTTTGTTGTAAATGTTCATGTTCATTAAATTTCAGAATTCACAAGAAGATTATTTCGGCTGGCAATAGCAACACTGAAGTTTAAGAAAGACGTTATAATTGAAATATTCTTCTATGTTTAACTTAGTTATTGTTAAAGCGCTTTCTTACCATGTGCTGAATTTCTCACTGGCATTTGAAATTTCAGAACAAAGGGTATATTGCGTAAGCCTGTTTGATTTCACATGCACTTATAAATAACGATACATTCTTTACTAATAACCCATTATCTGTGATTTATCTTCCGAATCCTTATAAATGATATTAGGACTAGGCACTCACGACGAAAACACATAACGATCATTGCTCGAGCGTCTGTCCATTATGAATATCCTATACAGTAAGATATTTTTGCTTGTCAGTACATGTATTTAACCATGTACTACTCTTTTAACGTATTCGATTGCGGTCGTCGTGTGCTTTGTCATGAAATTTGAATCGAATATATGAGATATTTGGCGTTTCACCATGAGGTGGACAATCAAATGTGTAGTAAAATGTTACACAAGTAACTGAGCTAAAATTTTTAAACACAGCGACAAAACGAAATTCCGCATCAAGGATAGGCGAAGAAGACATCCTAGCGCATTTCCCCATTATTTTCTAAGAGAATGTTCCCTTTACCCGTTGCTGGTAGCTTGGGAAATCAATTGATTAACGATTATTCAGCAATTATTAATTACAGAACTTCATCAGCTGATCGATTGTCGCTGAACAGAAGCTTACTATGACAATGGAAATTAAACCGCAAAGTACAACCGAATAAATTAACAATTAATGGAGACAATGCTCTTTCATCTACTGTGGACTTTAAGGGCTCAATCTTCCTATTTTTGAGGAACTTTTGGAAACCGCCATGGAAAAATTTAGAGAATAAAATGGCACAAAAACCCTAAAGATTTCTACAGATCAGAGAAAATTCGCCGAACCTTTGTGCATTTCCTCAAGGAAGGACTGCCAAAAGCAAATTATATAGTTTCGCTTAACAGTCAAAAAAATAGATAAAAAGTCGTAGACATCCTTTGAGGATGTTAGCTAATGAAAATCAACCTTATCTGAAAGTTAAATTACTCAACAAAATCACGACTCAAAACAACACCGAAAACATATAAGAATGAAGATATTGTTTAAATTTTTGCTTACAATATTCAATACTCCGATAACAAACCGAATAAACTTTCTACTTCCAAAGGAGACAAGATAGGAAATAAAATAAGGAAGTTGAATAATTAAGTAGGTAAAATGGAAACAAGTAAGTTATTTTTCTAGATCCGTGTTATTGTGTGACTCAAACTATTTGAATGCATCGACAAAAGGTAGTGAAAATTCCATTTATCCACCTTTTTATGCAAAATTCGAAGCGTCAACAGTAAATAATCATGCTGTCTTTCGTTACATTTAGCATATATCACTCAGTCTCAAGTTTTATATTATTTGCAACAAGCGTGTGGAGGTTATTATATGGTCTAGGGACAAGCTACAAAAAAACCCGAAAAGTTCTGGTCGACTACTAGCTAATTCAGAAATAAATATCCGATGTATGTAATTTTAGGGAAATCGACAATAATAACAAAAAAGCAGGCATATTTTAAATAATTACAAATTTCCTGCAAGTAGTTATTTCCTTTGAACAGAAATACGGTGACATAGAAATTCGTCTGGATTGAAATTGATTGATCATTTTCTTTATGTCCAGCGTCTCCGGTTTTGATGGGGGTATACGGACTATAAATGGAAATCGCTATGAAGATGCCACAGGTATTCGGAGTTTGACGCCTTTACAGGTGACATATTTATAACCAAAGTATATCAACCCAGTCAACTCAGATGTCATGAATGAAGGGCTTCGAACATATAAATGGAAAGCTATCAGTGTATCGAGAAGCACTTTGTCTAAGGTGGAAAACAGTTATCAAGAATGTATAGGACAAAGTACCCACTCGCAATCTGGTGCGGATACATGACCGGACGTCTTCAGCTAGGGTGGCTCCAGTGAGACTAGTGAGGTGAACACAGATATCTGAAGCCTACGGAACAATTTGTTCTGGCGATTTATACGTGGTCGGTCAGACTTTTAAATCTTACACGTTGTCGTTGGCAAATACTCTTCTGATAGCTTGCTATGTCTGGCGGTATCTGATCGTCTTTCAAATATAAGGGGGCTCCCGGTTCAATGTAACGATGAAATAACAACGTACAACGAAGATTTCTATTCATCGTATACCTAATCCGTTTTTCATCATTTTCAGCCAACCTGTAAAATGAAAAAATAAATTGTGAATTTATGTCGAAGTGCACTGATAAGTGCGAAAGGAAACAAAGCTTAAGAGAAGGGAAAAAAATAGAATATATGTGGTATAAAAACTTTTCACAATGAACGTTTTTGAAATTTTTATTAAAATTAAGATCGAATATTTGAGCATAATAAAAAGTGTTTTCTTTTCGTTTCAACAGTACAAACAAACCAGGTAAAATAAAATGTTACACAGTATCCTACTGGCGGTTGTCGTTTAGGTTATACAACTTTTTTGTACTGTTTTAATCGCCAGATCATATGGCAGACTCTAGTTAAAATATTGTTTGACTAACTATCTCTCGATGATTATTCCTCCTCCCCATGTATGTATGTACTCAAATCCTATCATTAGCTTTTGCTCTGTCCTTATGCGATCTGACTATAAACTTGCCTCTGTATTTGCTCGCACATACATATTCGCCTATCTATTTTAAATTTACTTGATGCGCTTATTGTTATAACTTGTCAGGTGAATGCTACATGTTATATCTGGTCG